GTTGAACACATGCCTCTGATCTGAAAGATAGTTGGAGAACCAACCAATGGTATGATTTGAGAAACCAATTTCTGAGAGCTTATGACATATAAGATGTCATGGTCCACAGTGTCAAAAGCTTTAGACAGGTCTAAGAAAAGTGCAGCACAATAATCCTTAGCATCCAATGCTTCAATTTAATTTAATTCAAGCAGATGCTAGTTACAAATTTGTGTTTGTACCATTTTGGGGTGGATTACTTTACAGGCCTCCCATATGTCAATTTGCTTTTCCCTGGGTTCAAGAGCTGCCATGGATCTGTCATTTTGCCACTTCTCAGCACTGGTTTCACTTCATTTAATCATGACAGAAGGAGATAGTTTTAATCTTTCACGCATCAAATAATTTGTCTCAGTTCATCTAATATATTAATATTACAAGGTCAAAAATCAGCTGTTTGATAACAACTGTAAACATCAGCAAAGTTGTAAATGTGCTCTTTAATAACAACTGCTCTTTTTTTATTATTCAAGCTGGTGAAATGACAAAAAACAAAAATAAAAAACATGAACAAAGCCGTAAATGGTACCGTATAAAATATACACAGCCGCTGATGATCTTGAAACACTAACGAGTGTTTAACTTAGAAAACCCCTCACTATTGAAGAGAATACTTTTGCCAAATTTGGTGAAACTTTTCTACTTCAGCAATATGCATGTGTGTGCGTCAGTGCGGAGCAGCAGCGCGTGGACACTGAGCCATAATGAGGGGATGTGCAGGAGCCTGGCTGAGCCCAACAAGAAATCTGTAAGAAATTCAAGGATAAGAAGTCTTGGGACAGCATCATAATATATTTCCTAATCAGATGGGTTTGCTTCTTTGAAGAATATTTAATAAAAGAAAACTCTGCATTCCCTTACTGAGATAATATATTACAAATTGTTACTATTGTGAGAAAAAAAAAAAAAGTTGGCCGAATTGATGCAGGTCTGCTCACCAGATGCACAGATATTCACAAGATGAAAAAGTATGTTTCATCTTCTACGTCTTGTTTTCCTCCCCCACCTTTTCCTCTTTCTGTGTCTCGTGAAGGGTTCTGGACCACCAACAAGGTTTTGCTTGGAGGAGCACGTCATGGGTGTCCTTCAACCGCATGACCAGCAAAAGAGGCCAATCAGCTGATGAGCTGCAAACCAAACCACGAGAAGGTCTCTGTGGCACGTCGCACACGACATTTACCAACTCTCCTCAAGCCGCCTGGGTCACTGAGCAATGTTCTGGGGAAAATCACAAAATATGCCGTTTAACTTCTGTCCCTTTTATTTTCCCCTCACCACCTCTACTGGTGCGCTTTCTGCTTCCCCTCCCCGTTTTAACCCAGAGCTCCTCTCATGAGACGGAGCCAGCTGAGCATGTTCCCCAAATCCAACAGTTGTTGTGGCCTTCGTTAGCCTAACGAGGGGGACGGCTCTTTATACTTGTCAGAGAGCAAATGAGTCAAACAAACAAGGTCCGGAGAAGAGGCGAGGACAAGCAAATGCTGTTCTGCTGAGCTTCGCTGCGTTTTTGGCCACAGCGCCTCACTGGAAACTAGGGAACCCACAATCTGCCTCTTTGATGTCTGATGATGCTCTGGCTTTGATGAAAACTTTGCGGGGGGGAGAAAAAAAAACAAAAAAAAACACAATGCACTTCCAAAAAGAAATGGCATGCTGCTCGGTGTCTGTGACAACTAGAGGCCGTAGGCTCGTTTAAAGTGTGTGGGTGCACAGCTCCTAAAAAGGGAAGTATTTGGGGACACGTAACAACTGGGTATGATAGTAACAAAGTTATAGTGCTTGTGCAAGCCTTCACTTGTGATGTGGTCTGTGCATTGGGGCACTGGGTATTGTGTCCTGCTGGTGGTGTTAACAATAAATAAGCATGCCTCACACTGACCATACTTGCAAATCAGAGCTTCAGTGTCCACAATTCACATTTTTCCAATCCCAAGGCTTAGGAAGAAAGTATGAAGGTGTGTCCTTTGGGGTGAGATCATTTCTCCGAGTGCAGCCCGTCTGGAACAAATATTCTGAGTTTTTCAAGGCTGAGACTCTGGAGCTGTAAAGATAGATTAGCTCTACAAGGTACGAAAGTGAAATGCTGGCTCCACTTTCTGTCTGGAGTTTTGATAAAAGTTTGCACGTGCACAGTGAAGATGACTAATCAGAAAGGAATCAAAGAGTGAGGGTGAATGGCAGGGCCGTGTTTAGTTAAACCAGAGCTGCTGTGATTTGTGTTTTCCTCTGGCTTGCTGCGAGATCCAAATCATCACAAAGAGCCAATAAAAATGTTAACTTCAAGAGGTTGATGAGGACACGCAAACCAAGATGAATTTTGTAAAGTAGTATGAAAAAAAATGGTCAGTCTTCTATGATGTTTATAGATCATGCACAAAATGTTGGTGGACACATAAAAGGTCTATTTTTGAGACATTAAATTGGTATTCTGAATGCATATATGGGAGTAATGAGCATGGTGAGGTAGTTTGTGCCATTTATCATCACGCCCACATGGAGATTTGAATCTCTTGGGTGGCACTACCACACAACTAAAGCTCAAGTCAAAGGTGCAGGATCCCAGGTTGAGGTGATGGATAGTGACGCAGCGCTGCTGTAGGTTCACCTTCTGTGTGGTGGCTCTAGGGCCAAGACTGCATGACAGTGATGTGACACCGAAAGCCTTCCTGTCAGGAAAGCGGGCGGACGTCCTCCAATCAAAACGTGGAGGCTCGGTGTGACATTTCACAGGGCACAGCTGCTGGGCTCGACAGCATGCCAACTCACTATTCCTGAAGGGTTGTTTGTTTAGTGCGTGTCACAACTACAGCGGTGTCTCTGCAAGAGCTGTGTGCATGCCAGGAAACCTCACTGTTTTCATACCAGTCACTATTTGACTAATCTTATAGTTGTATTTTACACCGAGTCAATATAAGAATGTTCTGTTCTCATCAGTGCTGGCGGAAGTGCAGAAAAATGAACATGTGCCAGTTTCGTGACAGAAAACAAACATGGAAAGAAGCAACAAATGACAAAACGTGTGGGGAAATAAAGTGCAAAATGTATAGTGCACAATCGTATAGGGTTAGAATGAAAGAGACATGTCAAACAAGTGCAACTTTACATCACCCCCGTGAAAAACAATTATTCTGTTTCCTTATTTAAAGCATACAGCCACACAAAATATTTACGTTTGTTCTCCAATTATGTTAGAAAACAGGAGGATGATCACAAGAATTTTAAAATCTTTACCAATATCTAAACAAATAAAATACATTTTCAACAAGACATAGATAAAAAAAAAAATACAAATGAGGTGGCATATTAAAAAAATAATAATAATTGTGGTTTCAAAACAACTTCCCCTACAGAATGAACGCTCCCAATTCAAAACAATATGAACACCAGTACAGCAACTTGCTTTCATACCATTTCAGTCAACTTTATTTTCAACCTCTTATATGTTTTATTCAATTTTATAAAACACACCGCAAACAAATTGTAGATTTTTTTTAACTAGTTTTGTTGAAATTAAACTACGTATATTGCATTTTTCAACACAGAGGCCCATTTATTACCAAATTATTTTTCAGTAATGTAGTTTAAAAGGAGTAAAAATGATGTTGAGTTACTTCCACCGAGCTGCACAAGCGTGTCATTTCTTAGTCTCAAATATTCACTCGAATTTTTATTTCTTCAACTAAATGCAGTGAACAGCAGAGCCTCCTTTACAACGTGTTTAGCTGTTCTCAGGTTTGCCGTCATTTTAGACTCTTCTTCGGACAAAAATATTAATTTCTAAGATGCTGATGATGCAGTTTGCAGTACTCTACCTAATTATTATTTTTTTTTTTTACATTTAACTTTGTGATCAAGTTGGAAACCAAAGTTTCCTTAAAAACTGCTGTATGCTATATGGGATTTATTTATTTGATATAATCAAAACAGGGGGTTATTGTGTAAAGAAAATGCAGCTGTGGGTTTAGCTGTTAGTACAGCTATCTATGAAATGTATCCCTTAAAAATCAAAGTTTGAAGGGACGTTTCTCTCCTATTGGGACTGCCCTACTCCCCAATGTGAACACTCCTAACTCTGTTTTGTGCAAACTATTTTAAATGTAACATTGGATTAAGCCTGAGACTCAGCACAAGGTGTAAAGACACAATTATGTCTTCCTGAGGCTGACCCAAGCCTTGAAGATAGGAAGACACCACAGCAGAAATCTGTTTCCATGAGTTTTACAAGTGACCTGCTCCCATATCTTAGTTACCCCTCATCATCCAAAAAGTCTGGTTCTTTGGCTCAGAGTTTGGGAGATTTCAGTGGTTTTGGAAAATGTCTTATCCTGTTTTGCCCCTGGTGGTGATGGAGTGAGCTCTGTGAGGCAGCTGTAGTTGAAGGCAGAGTTAGTATGCACACATAAAGCTGCTCAAAGCCAGCAGGTATGTGAGGAATGCCTTTTCGTCCAAACAACAGGACTCACGCCCAACACAGAACCATGTCACACCACACAGCACTATCAGGGAAACTAATGGGGCCCAATCAGGGACACCACAAATAAGCTGGTTTTATCAGTTATAAATAGTTGATTATCAATCGCAAAATGCTTGCCAATTTAGAGGCAAAACATTACAAATGTGCTAATTTAACAGCTAATGCAAATAAATAAATAAATCTGAAGCTACTCCAGTGAATACATTAAACATGAGGTGCAACAACACTGTCAGTGCAGAATGCAAACATGCATCAACAAGGGGTTGGGAATCTTTTTGCGCAATGAACATATTTTGAAGTCTTTACATATTTTGTGTTTGTGGTTAACCTGCATGTTTGAACAGTTTTAGAATATACAATGATCACGACACTTGGCGGTAAACAAAAGGACATAAAGCAAACAATGTGACAACATCTGCATCATAACTGATATTAGGACAAAGTGTTAAAAACGATAAAATAAATCATATAGTAGAAGTGTTGTTACCTCTTTTATGCAGCCATCCCTCCTTGACAATCACCACATTGGTCATGTTGGTGGACTAGATGAAGGATCCAGGTTTCCCACAGGGAGAGACACAACTCTGCTTCCTTAACTCAGCCCTGGCAGGAGCCTGGAGATGGGGTCCTGAGGTTTACAGCTGCCTTTTCAATGGTGGTAACCTATTAGTTGAAGAAAAGTAAAAATTAGCCTCGCTTTGAGGTGAAGGATTTCCCCCCCCAATCTGTCTGAATATTAACCCTCAGGCAAACACCGGAGATTGGAGGTTGTGGAAGTGAGAAGATCCTCGTGCTTTATGGCCTAGTCTGAGGAGGGGACACTGCCGCCGCAGTGGTGTCCTTTTAACAAGTGGAACCTGAAACATTTCAAGGTTCAAATAACTGTGCAAGGCTGTGGTTTATGGCATTCATTGTGAAGTCTCCAGTATTGGAAAATTCCATGCTGTTCACAACCAACACAGCCATTCCTGATAGACTAGGAGTTTTTCCTCCACTTGTGACCACAACAGAACTGAAAAAATAAAAAACTATGACGTCAAATAATTCTCACACAAACCACACACATTAATAGATTGTCAAGCTTGTTTTGGCGCTGTGTAAAAAAAAGTGTACACTAATGGTTTTGGCAAAGCTAGACTCACATTTTCCATTTGATTGCATGTTTTTTTTTTACTTTAATCCTTTAACCAAGTGATAAAGCTTAAAATGACCAGTTTTGTTTGGTGGTTTCATGAAAATTGGAGAATGCAGTTCTGAGGCAGGTGACAAAATAAAAAAATCTAATTTCGTCTTGCACTAAAAATTAGCACTGGACAATAATAAAATTATATTTCTCTTTGTTGTTGTTGTTTTTTGCTGAATTACTTCAATGATGCAATAAATTAATTCAGCTTGCAATGAAAAAACTTAAGGAACTTTACAATGGCTTTTACACTTCTATAATTATAAATACATTTATGGTCATTCTAAATTCACAGGGGAAACATACAGAAACTAAAAAAAAACTAATTCAAACTAAAACTGTTCCTTAAAAGAAAAAAATACATTTTCTATAAAGTCACCAATCGCAAAAGACACTGTAATGTTATATAAAAAAAAAAGTTAAATCTTACAGCATCACATTATTCATTTTGCTGCAAGATGCATGAAAAGTGGTCTTTTGTGGAATAAAAACTAATTACTTTAAAAACCAAATAAGCTAAATTCCTGACTGATATTTATTTTTAAGAACTTGGTTCCTGGTCCCACATGTTAAAAAAACAAAACAATTTTGTGATATTTACAGAATGCATGCGTCTAAAAGTGTCACACATGTCTGTGAGTTCATAAATACACTGCCTGAAGTATAAAAAGTAAATACAAGTAAAAGATCAAACTTCAGAAATCAATGTAATTCAACCTAAAGTAAAATGTATGATGGTTTGAGTACAGTGAAACTGCACTATCAGTCATCTGACAAACTGAGTTCCAGATCACTTGGTTATCTACAAACAGCACATACAGAAAAATAACCCTACAGGCTAACATTACCAAAAACACTTTGATCATTTCAGGCCTTCTTTCCGACATAAAAACAGTTTTCGTTCTGCCTTGCATTCAAATCAATGATCAAATGTGATACTTCTACAATGAAGTCACACACCAGTTATTCCCAAAACATTGAAAATCAATTTTCCTGCTTCTGCATCAAAAACAACAAAAAAAAAAAGAAGCTCAAGTTTGACTGGCCTCATTCCGTTTACTGGTGTGGCCAACAACAGGAAGTGAATGTGACTATTGACAGATTACGAGTCATATTAGTACAGCCCTGGGCTTCACACTAAATGTGCGATCAACACTCTTTTTACTGTCATTCTGCTCTCGCTTCTATAAGTGAGCAAAGGTGAGCGTACAACATCAAAACGGGTTTGTTTCCCGACAAGTTTCGATTTACTGCAGAACTTCTCTCACACGATCAATGTTGGACGGATCCCGAAAAGACGCACAGAGTGCAATACAAACCAGGGATTTCTCAAACCACGGGATCCTTTAAGGCATCCCAAAGAGTGCACTCGGTGACACACGCATCCACATGTTCTATACACACTGGGATACATCACACAAACAAACTTGAGTGCACGCACACCACAGTCAAGAAGGCAACACATGCACTAGACTGGCTCTGGAGCCACTACAGAGCACTGCTGTTTTAATGGGAGCGACCTATTGCTACTGTGGCCTGGGTGGAAAAGCTGGGCTGCTGCCAGTGCTGCAGCCACTATGAACCCAGTACCCTGACGGCAGGTCACATGGTCTTCAGGCCTGTGGGCCACCGCCTGCCTGCCTTGATGTCAGGACAGTATTCACTCATTCATCTTTCTAGCTCCACTGAAAGGAGAGTAGAGTAAGGGAGGCATCCCAATCAATGCAAATCAGTCATGCAGCAAAACATACCACACACGCAGACTGTCACGGGCCAGACAGGACAGTCCCATGTGCTTAAGGCAGGATGCAGAAACATCAGGCCAACATCATCACATCACTTCCGTCATCACAACAGATCAATAGATCCATTTCTCCTCTGGTTCCTGCTGCCGCTCAGGTAAATACAGTCAGCAGCTGGTTTGTCATTACTCTCAAACATTTCGCATGATTAAGAAATAAAATAAAAAAATACAAGCATCAAATAAGTTCACCTGCTATTGGAAATTAGTCCTTGGGGGCAACACTTGTTTCCAAATACTACAGTGGAACTGGTGTTACCGTAGTCTAATCTACTCTACAGAACCAAGTTCCTCGTTTCAGTTCCCTGAAAACACATAATTGATAATACGAATATTGCAGCAATTGTTGCCAACATGCAAAATGCAGTAAGAGCAACCTTGAAAAACAAAGTTGACTTCCTGGCTTAATCCTGTGATGACATGACCAGCAACGCCTTATGTGAACGTATTCATTTTCATGTTGTTCAGACAATCCATAGCTACTCTGAAGATTGCTGAACTCAACTTACTCAAAGCATTACAGGGGTGGCGGCGAGTCAAACGGCATCTCGAACACGAGACGAGTCAAACAAGAAGTGTTTTAGCTGAAATGTATGTGGCACAGACTGAGAGGAGTGCGCTGACAGTAACCTGCATCTTCCTCAGTCGTATTAAACTCTCATGGCTCAATCAGGTTTCAAGTCCCATCTGTCTGAAGGGGCACATTTTTTCCAACAACATTCTTCAGATTCTGTGAGCAACCAGTGGCACATTTGCGTCAATGGAGCTGTGAGGGGATTGGGTGGGAGGTGACTGGTATTTTCTAAATAGAACACTGGCGGCATCATTACGCCAGCTTGTTGCGTCTTCCTCGGGTCACATGCCAAGCTCCCTCGCATACCCACAACAGACAGACGTAGTCTCATGACTTGGAAAAAAAAACATTTTGACACTTGGAAGGGTACTGCATGCCTGGAGGGGGATATTGCTTTAAACTCTGAGGGGAAATGGAGACAAACAGATAAAAGTTATGCAAAAAAAAAAAAAAAAATGGACCCCTTGCATCAAATTTCTACTCAAATAAACATACCTGACAAAAAGAGCCTGTAGTTAACATGATTCAGTGGGTATGTGAACAACTAGGTGGTGGTGATAATGACAGTGAAGACAGAGGAACCAATCAAAAACATGCATTATCTCATGGGACTGATTACTAGAGAGGAACACTAGAAATAACACTAGCTGTGACCTCCCTGGAGTTTACCCAAAAGGCCCCCATTTTTGAGAGCCAGTGGAGTGTGTCAACAAGTCACAACAAAAGGTGTGCTAACTTTTTGTCTGCTGGGGCTGTGACAAAAACAACAAAGCCAAGTGACTAAAGGTTAAACGTGTGGCAATAAAAGTCCAACCAAAGTGAGTAAACAAACGCAGTGGTGGTTTAGAACAATGAATGAGCTGCCGTCTCCTCTTCTTGTTGAGCTCATTTGTTTTCATTCGCCTCCAGGGCCATAAAGCTGGGCCAAACTTCGCAGCAGAGGTGAACACTTTTCAGGCACTGCTTCGCTTTCGAAGTGGTCTTTGTCAAAACTAGCTTCTTCTTTCGGAAAGAAACAAAGCGGATTAGGTGTTTACAGAAGAGCAACGCGTTGGAAATCATTACGTGGGGGGGTTGTAAAGAGTTCCGTCTTTCCAGGTCGGCGAAATGAAGCTATGAAGGCATCAAAAAATCGGGTTTGTTAGCGACAGAAAGGATATGGGGCCTAGCGGGGCAGCTTGGGTGAGAATAACCGCATCCCATGTAAGTACAATGGGGGACCTACCCTGTTTTCAGCTCTCGGCCTCTTGGAGTTAAACATGCGAAGAAAAGATGGACGTTTACCTGGACAGGAGCTCAACAGTGTGTCCGTCTCATTATAGTGGGGTGTTTCGAGAGTGTTTGGAGTTGATAAGTCCTTCAACAATGTGGACAGAAGTGCTCTCATTTACTCCGTTTCTCTCTCTTTGCCTTTTCTTCCACAACACCTCCCAACCGCTGCTGCGCGGCGGCGCCTCCCGGGTCCTAGCGCCAACCCCGTATCAGTCACAGGAGTAAACCAGGCTTCCCATTAAAAAAAAAAAAAAAACCTGAAGCAGGAGAGGAGCCGGGGACGCGTAGCCTCAGTGAACTCTCATCCGTTTCATCTGCGCCAGTGGTGTTCAACTAACGGCCCACGGACCCGCACAAGTCCAGTGGAGATTATAAATGAGGGTAAAAAAAAAGTTAAATCTGGTCCTCTGGACATTCAAAAAAGAAAACAAACTTTTATTTTTTTGTAAAAAATAAAATTTAAAAAATGCCACTTGCTTCAGAGCAAGTTGCAATAAATTACTGAGTAATCAGTTTATTTTCTGGATTCAAGTTTATTCAAATTTAGGTGTGTAAATGCGTATTATCGCCCGCCACCGACCTTTAATTATACAGGTTAGCCTCACTGAGTCACGAGCACTCATTTACAAGAGAGATCTGTTTTAAACAAACAACACAAATGAGGTACAGACAACAATATAAAAGCATACAAAATGAAAAATAAATAAAGTAAATGTTATAAGAACTAAACAAAAACAGCTACATTATAAAGCCATGTAAAATACTAAAAACAGGAACACGTCTGCATTGGTTTTTGCAAAGAACTTAACAATTTTTTAAAAATCCCTTAGAGTGGTCAAAGTCGACAACTTCAGATCTTTTTGCACGGTGTTCCAGGAGCGGAGAAAGAGAAGGCCCTTTTGACAAGTTCGGTCCGCACTGAGGGGACACTGCAGGTAATTATGTCTTGAGAGCTACACTGATGAAGTGACATGTAGGAGGAGATGTATGAAGGCAACAGACCAAGAAGTGATTTATAGATGAAAATGCATCCGTGTGAGAGTCTGCGTGAAGTTAACGATGACCAATTGACCAATGAGTACAGAGTGCAGTGATGGATACGGTATTACAGCCAGTTAAGAATCTTAGTGATTATTGATAGCATCAAACGTCTGCAAGGTGCTGATGTTCTTTACCAAGAAGGCAAAGCAGATGTTTGTGTCTGTTACCAAAATGTTTAGTGAACAACTTTAATGAATTTTGCAGAATAGAATATGTAGATCTATGAATGAGTATCCTTTAGAGTCAACTTGAGTCAAAATTCCTGCCACTGTGGCTATAAAATTACTAAAACTAACTCAGTTTTACAGAGCTTTAAGATTTGGTTTAGTTTTAGCTGATCCTAAGCTAAAAAAAAAAAAGGCTGTGCAATATATTTTTTTAGAAGTTTTACCATTGACTGTTTTAAGTCATCCCCATCAATTTGTTGTCACCATGCACCCACTGGGCAAGTTGCTTTAATTTTCTTTTATTTCAGAAAATAGTCATTGGATATGTAAATCCAATGACTATTGATATCAATGACCAATCCATTGATCTTGGAAGGCATAAAAATAACTATAATTCAGTCAATTTTACTCATATTTTGCATATATTTATCACAGGGACTGTGCAAACAATTAAAGTAATCATTGATTGTACAGCTTCACTGTCTTTCAGCTGATTTTTTTTTTTAGCAAGGCTTGTCACAGCAGATCATCTGCCTTCGAGTCTATTTGCCACCAGCACCCTGCTAACAGCGCTGGAGGTTGATGTTAACCCACCAAATAGCTGAAAGTCACTAACAATACTCTGGGCGTGACATCCATGTTGCATGTGATTGCATGTCATGTGTTTTTCCCTATTTTTCATCATCGTTTCTCATCATAAGGTGATTTTTGTCTAAAACTCTGGCATGAAAGGAATTGATATGTAATCTTTAAACCCTTGCTGGGTCTTTAAAAAAAAATGTTCTTCATTTTTTCAATAAAAACATTTAATCATGTTTGTTTTTTTCCCCCACTGTGTGCTGCTGGTGGGACTCAGTTTGTTTGGTGGCTCCTCAGAATGAAGAAGTCCTTTGGATGAAGGACGAAATGTCGTAGCAATACAAGAAACCACCCAGATAACCTGACAACATCGTTGGATTATTACCTGGATTATTGAGCATGAACTTTAGTATATTATTTAATCATATTACTGTAATTCTAAGTTAGTTTTTTTTTTTGTCATCATGAAAAGAGTTTGATCAGACACTTAAATATTTACATGAATGATTATTTCAAACTGAGTATATTAAAGAATCAAATTTTTGTGCAAAAGTAATGACACAGTACAATATATTTCCATTTTTTCCCCAAGAAGCCAAAAGGAAAAAAACATTAACAAACTGCAAAAATAAATAGCCAATACAATTAGTAACTTTTAATCATTTCAATAGTCTCAAGTTCAACCTTCCCCTGTTCTTTACATTGTTTTAAGTTTTCATTAACTGTTTTTGCGTCGTATGTTTTGACCGGCACTCCCATCTTTATTTAGAAAAGGAAAACTCTTTAGAAAACTTGCTTATTTAGGCCAATAAAAAAATTAATTAATCACACATTTTGCACATATTTTGCAGCATGGTACATTAAAAAAATGACTCAGTGTGCTAAACTGGGCTAAACTACCTGAAATGGAATACACAAGAAGAGGAAGAGACTGTTGTTACAAATCTTTATTAAGCAAATTGATGCAATACAGAAGTAAATGCTGTTGCATTGACCTGAAAATATACTGTGACTTCCATGTTAAAAAGGAACCTCAACTACAAAGAACACGCACAAAACCAACAAAATACTACTAATAAAAAAGAAGAATAAAAATGTTCATTATAAGTACTGCGTGCCTTCTTGTTGCCATCTGCAGCCTTTCAACTTTCTGTGCAGTTTTACTTTGAATGCAGAAAATTTGAGTTCTTGAAAACATGAATGAAATATTAACACAGAATAATAAATGGTGCTGTTTTGGTAAGACGAGATGAACGTAGGCAATAATATATCACATTGCCTAATAAATCTGCTGAGAAAAACAACAAAATGCTGTTTTATCAGATAACTTTTGAGTTATAATCAGGATTTAAGCCTCTGACCTGGAAAGGTAAGAGTTAAGGTGATTCCAGACAGGTACAGACAGGTAACTAAGTCTCTGCTTAACCCAAATATCTCTAACTTGAAGGCCTTTCAAAATAAAATAAATCTAAATTTTATCACTTAAAATATTTCACTGCAGTTCCCGTGTGACTTTTTTTCTTTATTTTACTCCCTAATTCCAAAGACATGTCAGTAAAACTTTATTCATCATCATAAAGTCATAAACAGATGTGAGAGAGGTGCAGTTTGAAATAAAATCATCAGATTATGGTGAGAATTTGTGCAACGATTGATAAATAACGTGACAAGAACTGGACTGCAGGGACTGTTGCTTGTGTTCCCTCTGTGATAAAAGATTTATGGACCTGTGTGCCCTCTGTCTCTCAGCCGGCTCTACTGTCACTTCCCACTTCTCTTTTTTTATCACTTACTCCATGAAGTCCTCACTGTTACTGTGAGCTGTGCCAAGCTGTTCCTCGCATGCGAGCAGAGACGACAGAGGGAATCCCACATTTTCATCTGCTGTTTTTAACTCCTGAACCGCCTCTGGTCTGATTTCTTCTGCAGGTTCATCACAATAAGTAACGCATCCAAGCGAGCTGATTACGAGGTATGATTCTTGAGAATATAATAGACAGAAGTGATCTTGAAAAACTGCTAATAGAAAACTGAAATCATCATGAGATGAAAGGGATTGAAGTATACACAGATGCTGTTACATTAGGACTAGGGATGCACGATATTGGATTTTTGGCCGATATCCAATATGCCAATATGTTAAACTTATTTGGCCGATAACCGATATCAATACCAATATTTTCCCCCTAGACCTACTAGAGACTTCTCTGCTGTGGAATTATTCTGCGTGGTCTTTGTCGATTTGGCATGCTACCAAAGGGAGCTGAAAATGATGTAACACTTCAATTTGGATTATATTTAAAGTCAGATTTATTCATGACATTTACTCTCTCTAACGAAAGTGCATAAGTAGTAGTGCATTAATAAATATACTTGACAGATTCTTAAATTAAAAATGAACTTAAAACAGAAGCCTTTTATATCGGTGAGTTATTTTGATGGACCGTCCAATATTTAACTTTATCGCTAATATCGTCTGATATCGATACCATGCTGATAATATTGTGCATCCCCAAATAGGAGTTAGATACAGTTATCTACAGTGTGCGCTCTCAGGACATTATTACATGCAGTGTCCCCTCAATGAGGACTGAACTAGGCAAAAGGGCCTTCTCCTACTCCGCTCCTGTTTCCTGGAATATCTTGCAATAAGATCTGAAGCTCTCGACCTGGACCTCTAAGTGGCTTCAAACATCTGTTAAGTTCCTGGCAAAAACCAGTTCAGACATGTTCCTGTTTTTAGTTTTCTACACCGCCTTATAATCTAATTTTGTTTCCTTTTGATTGTCCTTTTGGTTACCATTTTATTTTAACTTGTAAAAAATTAAAATAAAATAAAATGTGTACGCCTCTTTTATGATCGTCTCGTATCGTCGTTGGTGTCCACTGTTGTCTTCACTCTTTGTTAAAAAAAAATTCAGGTCTCTCTTGTAAATGAGTCCCCGAGGCTCAATGGGATTAACCTGTATAAATAAAGGTTGAATGAATGAAAGATAGATGTAACAATTAGACAAGGGAGTTGCATAAATGGAGCGTAAAACTGTAGCATCAGTACAGATGAGCGATTAAAACAGTGACGATTGTGCGGTTAAACACAAAGCCACAAAACTTTGGGGATCTTAAATCTCTCAATGATATATGCATGTTTGAATTGTGTGAAAATGTGCGGAGGGAGCTGGATTTTAAAACGTCTGCAGGAAAACGCAGCATTGTGTTGAAAAAAGTGATATATACTTGAAGAAATGTTTTGAAGAACGACAATGCTCCTCAAACTGACATCCAGAGCACAAACCTCTGCTGTCATGAGACTTTGGTCCAGTGGGGGGAGAGATGTGGTTCCATCGTGGCTGGTTGGCTGGTCAGGCTCCACTGGAATGCAGGGTCTTTTGTTTGTCTGGGAGAGGAGTGGGTCAGGAGGAGAATGCCATTGATGATTGCAG